CGATTCCCCCTCCCGGGTTTTGCTTCCGGGGGGGGTGGGGGGTGGAACGGCCACGGGGGGGGGGACCTTGGGGAAACGGGGAACTGCCAGTGCCCTGCCCCCTGTCCTCGATGCCTTCCTCATCACCCTCCTCATTGCCTTACCATGGCCTTCCTCATCACCTTCCTCACACTCCTCATCACTTCCCCCATCGCCTTCCTCTTCACCCTCCTCACTGCCCTTCTCATTGCCTTCCTCATCACCCTCCTCCTCACCCTCCTCATGGCCTTCCTCCTGAAGCTCCCGGCAGGCGGGGGGGGGGGGGGGGGGGGGGGGATGGCGGTGTGTCAGCTCAGGGTCGTCTGTCCTGCTGCTGCTGCCGTCCCTCCAGCACAGCCCGGCCACACTGCCGTGTGCACCCCAAACTGCCACGTGCACCCCAAACCGCTCTGCGCACCCCAAACCACCATGTGCTCCCTGACCCGCCACATGCACCCCGACATTCCGTGTGCACCCCAACCCGCCGTGTGCGCCCCAAACTGCCAGACTGCCAAGTGCACCCCAAGCTGCCGCATGCACCCCAAACCACTGTGCACACCCCCACCCGCCGTGCACACCCCGATTTGCTGTGTGCACCCCCACCTCCCGCTCGCACCTCCACGCACCCCCATTTCCTTGCACCCCCCCCCCCCCCCCAACCTCTCCACGCACCCCCCAGGGGCAGTTCCCACGGGGGGAGCTCGCCAGGCGGTGCCCCCCGCGGGGGGAAGCCAGGTTTTGGGGGTGCTCCTGCGCCCCCGCAGCCCGCGGCACGGCTGGGAACCCTCCACCTGCCTCAACACGAAGCTCTTTGAGCGCCGAATCCCTGGAGCAGGAAGAGGCTCCGTGGAACATTTCCCACCCCACAATTTTGTTACTTTTGCAAGATTTAACTTGATTTTCGAACGCTGCCCCGGGGCCCGGTGCGGTTGAATATTATTTGCATGTTTTATTTACGGGCCTGCGCTCCACCGTGAGATCTTGAAAATGAAAGAGCTTCATCTTCCCAAACCTTTGCCGCTCCCGACCTGACGGGACTCTGGGCGCAGTTTCGGTGGGAGGTCTGGGGGGGGGGGGTGGGGGTTGCAGTGCTTCTGGGAACCAGGGCTCGGTACGATCCCGCGCCCCTGCTTCTGCTTTTGGGTGTTTTTTGTTCACTGAGGTTTGGCATCGGCAAGTTTCAGGGTGAGGATGCGGCGGTGGCTCTTTCGATTCCCGGCTGAGAGCGGCGGCTCCAGGCAAGTGGGTCCTGGGCTCCTCTGCCAGGCTGGGTCCGTCCCCCGGGTCCTGGGGGAACACTGGGGACACCGGCCACTGTCGTGGCTGCGGATCCTTTCTTAATTTAGGCAGAAAAGGGTAAAAGTCACCTTGGCTCGAGGCTGGTTGCCTGTGGCGACCGAGTGACCAAGTGACCCCCCTTCCCCGTTCCCACAGGTCCCCCCACGCCCTGGCTCCGTGTCTCCGGCGCCCACCGGGACCCTCGCTGCCCTCCCCAGGGGGGATCCACGGGTGTCCCCGGGGTGGTGGGGATGGAGCAGCCACCCATCCCATCCCAGCCTTGGTGCTGCTGGTCCCAGGACACCCTGTCTGCGGTGCCGGGGAGCTTCACCTCGCCGCTTTCCGGGGACCACCCTCCCCGTTTCTTCCTTCCTCTCTCTCGCTGAAGGCCCTGCCCCATCCCGCCGTCAGCCGGGGCTCGGCCGGCACCGGGGTCCAGCTTCCTCCTCTCCCACGGCGGCTCTCGGCCGTGCCGGGGCACCGCAGGTTTTGCCAGAGCCCGTGAGCTCTCGCAGCGCGGGAGCGAGCGGCGGTTATCGCGACACAGCTCCCCGCTGCGTGCCGGGCTCGTAACGCCCGGCTCGGCTTTTTGGCAAGTTCCTGATCAGCCAAGGCTGCATTTGAGGAAGTCCTTGACCAGCCACTTCACCCCCTCCGCTGAGCCGAGGTACCGTTCGCCCGCTTTAATTAGCTCTCCTCAATTAACGAGCCCAAGGGCCTGGGGAAGGAGAACGCCGGGGTGGCGGCAGGGTTCTCCTGCCGGGTTGCCGGTGCTGGCGGAGGAATGGGGATGGGATTTCGGGTGGACAACCCAAGGGGATCCTGCGGCTGTTTCGCTCCCTTGAAGGGGCGGGCAGGGAAGAGCCGTGGGGCGGCCGCGGTTCCGCTGCCGGTGCCGGTGCTGCCGGAGCCGCTCGGTACGGCTCTGCCACCGATGCACCAACCGGCCCTGGTCAAAGCCCTTGACTCCCCAGCACCTCGTTAGGGGTGACGGTGATTTAACTGGGTGCCATGGGGGTGTGGGGGGCTGCGTGCGACGGCCTCTGCAGTGCTCATGGCTTTGCCAGAACCGGTGGAGGCAATGTACTCACCTACCACCCCCAACCAGAGCCCACGGCCCTGCCCATCACACACACAGCTCGTTAATCTAACGAGCCCGGCCTTCATTAGTGCAATCCCGCTGCCCTGAGCCATTTGCCTCCTGTTAGGGGAACTGGTGGCCCCATCAGCAGCAGTGGGATGAGGCGGGTGAAGGACAGGCACAACCCCACGGTCTGGGGGGGGGGGGGGGGGGGGTTGTTGGGGGGCACCCAAAGGTAGGTGACCCTCGGTGGGGGCAGGGAGGCCACGGTGCAGGGTGCTGGGGAGACTGAGGGCAGTGTGGGTTTGGGATGGGGCTGCCCCTGGCTCCCGCAAGCCCACGGAGTGTTTTTGGCATCCCAGTTCATCCTCCCAGTTTGCAGGCAGCAGCAGGTGTGGGGGGAGGTGTGTGGGTTGGGGGGGGGGGGGGCGCGGTTTGCAGCCCCCCCCCGCCTGCCCCACGTCACGCCACTCTTACAGCTTTTAAGTCTCTTACAAAACAGCCTCGGCGGAGTTGCCTAATCCCGGGGAGGAATGCGGTGGGTAAGCACGGCGAAGGTTTGCGAGCCGAAAGGGGCGGTGGGGGCCAGGGTTGGGGGTGACCCCCACCCCGGTCCCCAGCAGCCAGCTGGGTTACGGCGTCTCTCCGCATTGCTTTTATTGCTGGAATTCCCTCGTGTCTTTTTGGATAAGGGTGAAATGATTAATGACCGGAGGAGGGAACTCAGCAGGGCCCTGATGAATTATTTACCTGGGGAGGGCAAAGGGCCGGGGAGCTGCCAGCCCGGCACACCGGGGTCCCGGCGGGTCCCTCGGCAGAGCTTTGGCCCCGTCCCCAGTGAGCAGCCAGCACGTCCTGGGTGCTGGCAGCAAGCAGAGGTGAGCGCCCGGCTCTTCCCTCGCAGTGGCTTACCCTGGGGTGGGGGGCTCAGGTGCGCACCCACCCCCTGGCACCCCAAATTCCCGGCTGCTGGAGGTGGCTCTGTCCCACCATGGCTCCGGTGGCCCTGGCACAGAGCGGGGGGCCGCTGTCCCCTGTGGCATTGGGTGATGCTCGTGGGGACTCCACGGCTTCTGTGGGAAGGGGACACACATGGGGACCCCCCTAGGCCCCCCCCCCTCACCTTTCCCTCTGCTCCCCCATGGGGTTTTGCCCCCAAGAAGCACGTCACAGGCAGCGACAGGCCAGGGGACAAGCCTGCCCGCGCAGGCAGCACCAGACGTCCTGTGACAGCGATGTCACCCAGCGACGTCACTTGTCTATTTTTAATAGTAAACGGTGGTTTTGGGTTTTGTTAGGTTTTTTTTTGTTTTGTTTTGTTTTTTTCTTTCATTTTAGCTGTGGAGGTGGGAGAAGGAAAGGGCCCGTCTGCGGGTGCGCAGCCCCTGGGGTTTTATGCTGCTTCAGGGATTTTTCTTTTTTTTCTTTTTTTCTTTTTGCTGCTGGTTGGGTTTGCTGGGACCAATGGGAAGGTTCCTGGGTGCTGCTGGTTTCTCCGGTGCAGCCGGCCCCGGGGTCCCCGTTTCTCCTTCCTCGTCAGGAGACGAACGCACCTCTTTTGCAACCTGAAGCAAAACCCGACTGTGCCGGGAGGTGCTGGGGAAGAGGCACCGCGGCCGGACCCCCGCGGCAAAGCCGGCGAGATGTGGGGGGGGGGGCCGGGGGGGGGGGTCTGCTGGGCTCGGCCGTGCCCGCCGCTGAAACCACGAGTTCTGGCCGGAGGGCTCGGAGCTGCCTGAGTCAGAAAAAAACGTGACTCTGACGGGCAGATTTGGTGCTCGGCCTATTTACAGCCCCCGGGAAATCCTCGGGCTCTCATTTAGCCGGCCTAAAAAAGCCGCTGGCAAACCCAAAATAAAACGCGCGCCGGGGTCACCGGCAGTGCCGCGGGTAGCGCAGCCTTGTGCTGGCAGGACCTGAGACACCTAGTGACACCCCCACACACACTCCGTGTTTTCCGCCCCCCCCCCCCCCCCCGCCCCCAATCTCAGGGTGCCCCAGGGGTGCTCTGCTAAGTGGATGCTGTGCCGGAGCCCAGAATTGCCGGAGCATCCCCCCCCGGGCACCGCGTGTCCTCCGGCGCAGGGCCGGATCCTGATGCTGGTGGAGGTTTGGGGGGGGTGGGGGTGGGTGGATGACAGTCCTTGAGGGGGGTGCAGCCCGCAGCTCCCTGCCCCCCTTCCCCCCCCCCCCCCCCCGAATTGGGCATCATCCTCACCAAATTCCCGGGGTATCATGCTGCCCCCCAGCACTCTCACCGCTGTGTCCCAGTGGCTTCCGCCGGCTCTTTGCTTGGGGGTCCAGCTGTGGGGGTGTCACAGCCAGCGTGGGACTTCCCCGTGGGACTTTCCCTCCCCCCCCCCCCCATCAACCCTGCCCTGTCCCCCCCAATCCCCTCCCCACACAGCGAGATGCCGCAGCAAGCCTCGTCTCCATTTAAACACCCAAACCTGGATCTCCTGGGGTCGCCGCAGCCCCCTCGGGTCAGGGGGGTGGCAGCATCGGGGGGGCACAGGGCGGTCGGAGGCGGGGAAATCTTCATTTTGGGGGGGGGGGGACACGACACACGACACGACACAGCGCGGAGATCCGGCCTGATCCCTGTTGTTGTCTCCATCCCCAGGTCCTGATGCCGTCCTGAGCCCCGCCGGGCGCGGGAGATGTACTGAGCGGTGCGGGGTCTCTGCGGGGCGGAACCCCCCCCCGCCATGGCGGAGGGGGGGGCTCTGCCGGTGGCCTCCTGGTTGGCCGCCCTCCACCTCGACCAGTACGTGGAGAGTTTCCAGCGGAGCGAGCTGTGGACGGTGTGGGATTGCCGGGAGCTGACGGACCAGGAGCTTACCCGGCTCGGCGTGGTGCTGCCCGGCCACCGCCGCCGCATCCTCTTGGGGCTCCAGAAAGCCTTCGCCGAGACCCCTCCCCAGGCCGGGACCCCCCGCCCCCCCCCCCCGAAAACCCGTGCCCGTGAAACGCCACGTCTTTCGCCTGAGCGCCGCGACGGTGCCGGAGGAACAACCGGAGCGGGAGTCCTGGGAGGTGCCCGGGGTATCCCCACTTCTGGAGCAAGAAGGAGGGGTGAACTTCACCCAGCTGCCCCCCCCCCATCCCACCCAGGGTGGGCTGCCGCCCCCCACTCAAATTCTCCTCATCGCTAACGGGGAGCAGCCCCCCGGACCCCCCCTCACCGCCGGCCCTGGCCGAGAAGCCCCCGAGACCCCCCCCCGTGCCACCGCTGCCGGCCAAGCGTCACCAGTTGGAAGCCAAGTGCCAGTCCCAGGAGGGCCCCCCCGCCCCCCCCAGCCGCCCGCCGGTGCTGCCCCCGAGGGCCGCGTCCCAGAGGAGGTGAGTGGGGGGGCTGTGTTTGTGTGTGGGGTCGTGTTTGGGGGTGCCCTGAGGTGGTGGGGTCACCGTGGGGAGCTGCTTGTGTTAGGGGGGGCGGGAAATTCTTGGGTGGGTGCATGTGGTGAGGGTGTGGGTTGTCCAGGGTTCTTCATGCCCTGCCCCCCCCCAGCCCCAGCACATCCCCCGGGGGTCCCCACACCCCCCCAGCGTATCTGCTGGGGGTTCCCACAGCCCTCAGACTCGGGGGTCCCCACACCCCCCCCAGCACATCCCCTGGGGGTCCTCACACCCCTCCCCAGCCCCAGCACATCCCCTGGGGGTCCCAGATCCCCCCCAGCCCTGGGTTTTTCCCACACCCCCCCCAGCACATCCCCCGGGGGTCCCCACACACCCCCCCCCCCAGCCCCAACCCATCTCCTGAGGGGCCCAGACAGACTGGGGGGGGGTGGGGTGGGGTGGGCAGATCATGAGAGGAGCTGCGGCTGCTCTAGTGTCACACTGTCCCGGGGGGGGTGTGTGTGTGTCACCCCCACGGACACCTCAATTTTGTTCCTTTAGGGTGTGGGGGGGGGGCGGCTGCGGCTCTTTTCTCTCAACCAGCCTCTCGGGGGGGCTGGATGCGACCACCCCAGCCTGGTTTGGGTTTCTGTCGTGTGTCCCCCCCCCAACCTTTTCCCACACTGACACCACCCCCACCCCCCCCCAACCCCCCCTGCCCTTGCCTGCAGTGCGGGCAGCGCTGAGACCCGAGGAACTTGTCACATGCTGTGGGGACAGGCAGCAAACCGCAGCAGCGCCGGGATGGGGAGGGGGGGAACCGTCGCGGGGGCGGGGGGGGGTAGTAGAACAAGCAGCTACCGGCTGGTGCGGCCGGATGACACAAGAGCAGCGCTCGCAGCCCTTCCTCGATGTCCCTGTCCCCCGCCTCGTCCCGTCCCCCCCCCCCTCAGCCGCAGCACCTCCCTGCCAGCGCAGGCTTTGCTGCAGCCAGGCCGGGCTGCTCCTGCTGCAGCTCCCAGGGCATGTGTGTGTGTGTGTGTCCCGCGCCCCCCCGCCCCGCCGCAGCCGCTGCACCCCCAAAACCCTGCGGAGCTGCAGGTGGGTGCGAGGTTGAGGTGGGGGGAAAGGGGGGGGGGGGCGGGGTTCTGGCAGTTTGTGGGGGTGGAGGAGAGGAGGAGGGCCCCCCCCCCCCCCCAACTGCTGTGAGCATCCTCCTTGGTTGGGGGGGGGGGGATGTGGGTGGGAGGAGCGTCCCCAATGTGGGGGCGTCCCCTGGTCCCCCCCAGTGCTCCAAGGGACGTGCTGATGCAGCCAGGGAGGGGGGGGGGAAGGTTCTGGCTGGTCCCCGGAGGGGTGGGGAGGTCAGAGACTGCTCCCGGGGGGGCGGAAAACGGGGTGTGGGGGGGTTGCCCTGTCACCCTGGGTGCCAGATGGGACCCGTCCCTCCCCTCTCCCGCCCCCAGCCCCGTGGCACCCATTCCGTCAGGAAGGTTTGTTCAGCCCCCCCCCCCCCCCCATTGGACTGTCCCCATCCCTGTCACCCCATCAGTGCATTTTGCCACTGAGGTGGTTCCCAAAATCCATTCCCCCCACCCCCCCCCCAAAAAATCTTCCTTGCGAGGCCAGTGGCCACCAGTTTGTCACCGTTTGGGCCAGCTCAGGAAGTTTTGGGGCTGGTGGAGCTTTTGGCAGGAACCGCGGGGGGTGACGAGGTCACAGCCCCCCCGCTACTAAATCCGGGGGGGGGGAGGGGGAGGGGGGTGTCCCCCCGCTTCAGGCCCGGGTTGGTGGGGGGGATGTCACCGCTGCGGCCTGCGCGAGATGGCAGCGGGGCCGGGGGGGGGGGGGTTTTGGGGTGCGAGTTGCACCCCTCTGGCTTGGGGGGGGGGGGCAGCCAGGGGGTCACTTCCTGGGTGCCACCGCTGAGAGATGCCGGATCGGGCCCACGGGGCCGGGTTGGGGGCGGCGCTGGGTTCCACGCGGGGAGCAGAAATATGTCACAGGATGTATGTACGGCTCGGTAGTGGCTGTGGGGACGTATAGCGTGGATGTATAGCGGGGACGTGCGCGTGGCTGGTCGGTAATGGCAGCAGGGACATATAGCGGGGACGTATAGCGGGATCCGTGTGCACAGCTGGTCGATAACAGCAGTGGGGATGTATAGCGGGGATGTATAGTGGGATACGTGTGTGCAGATGGTTGATAACGGCAGTGGGGACGTATAGTGGGGACGTATAGCAGGATACGTGTGTGCAGATGGTTGATAACGGCAGTGGGGATGTATAGTGGGGACGTATAGTGGGATATGTGTGCACAGCTGGTCGGTAATAGCAGTGGGGACGTATAGTGGGGACGTATAGTGGGATACGTGTGAGCACCCAGTCAATAATGGCAGTGGGGATGTATAGCGGGGACGTATAGTGGGATCTGTGTGCACAGGCAGTCAATAACAGCAGTGGGGACATATGGCAGGGATGTATAGTGGGATCTGTGTGCACAGCCAGTTGCTAACAGCAGTGGGGACATATAGCGGGGACATATAGCATGATCTGTGTGCGCAGGCGGTTGATAACAGCAGTGGGGATGTATAGTGGGGACGTATAGCGGGATACGTGTGTGCAGATGGTTGATAACGGCAGTGGGGACGTATAGTGGGGACGTATAGTGGGATATGTGTGCACAGCTGGTCGATAACAGCAGTGGGGACGTATAGTGGGGACGTATAGTGGGATACGTGTGAGCACCCAGTCGATAATGGCAGTGGGGATGTATAGCGGGGACGTATAGTGGGATCTGTGTGAACAGGCAGTCAATAACAGCAGTGGGGAAGTATGGCAGGGATGTATAGTGGGATCTGTGTGCACAGCCAGTTGATAACAGCAGTGGGGACATATAGCGGGGACATATAGCATGATCTGTGTGAGCAGATGGTTGATAACAGCAGTGGGGATGTATAGTGGGGACGTATAGCGGGATACGTGTGAGCAGCCGGTCAATAATGGTAATGGGGATGTATAGCAGGGATGTATAGCAGGATATGTGTGCACAGCCGGTCAATAACAGCAGTGGGGATGTATAGCAGGGATGTATAGTGGGATATGTGTGAGCAGCCGGTTGATAACAGCAGTGGGGATGTATAGTGGGGGACATGTGCGCGGCTGCTTGGTAATGGCCGTGGGGACGTATAGAGGGTATATATGCACAGCTGCTTGGTAACAGCAGCAGGGACTTATAGCGGGGACGTATAGAGGGGAATGTGTGCGTGGCCGCTAGATAGTGGTGGCGGGGACTTATAGCAGGGTACACTGTGGCCTCTTGGTAATGGCAGTGGGGATGTATAGCAGGGATGTATAGCAGGGTATGTACACACGGCTGGTTGGGAGTGTGCAGTAGCTTATATACCTTCCTACTGTGGTGCATATATACAGTAGGATATGTATGTGCTGATGCTTGATGGCTGTTGGGAATGTATACAGGAGGGTATGGATAAGGTCGGTGTTTACTGCAGGGTATATATCCATATGGTATGTGTGCTGGTGCTTGGTTGCTACAGCAGGTACCTGCTTGGTTCCTGTATGTAGGTGTGTATGTCAGGGTGTGTATAGGCTGGCACTTGGTCCCTATGGCGGATGTATATGGCAGGGCACATATAGGCTGGCGTGCAGTCCCTATGGCAGATGTATATGGGGACTGGCCCTGGGCTACCTGGGGGTCCCTGGGGGGTGGGGGGGCACTGCTGGGTGCCCTGGGCCTAAAGCAGTGGGGTGAGGCTTGCCCACCTCAGGGTGACACTTGCCCATCTCAGAGTGACACTAGCCCATGTCTGGGTGGCACTTGCCCATGTCTGGGTGAAGTTGCCCACATCAGGGTGCTGCTTGCCCATGTCAGGGTGTCGCTTGCCCACGCTGGGGGTGATGCTTGCCCATATCTGGGTGATCTTGCCCTCGCTGAGTGACACTTGCCAATGTCTGGATGATGCTGCCCACGTTAGTCTGACACTTGCCCACACCAAGGTGTCGCTTGCCCACGCTAGGGGTGATGCTTGCCCACGTCAGGGTGACATTTGCCCACGTCAGGGTGTTGCTTTCCCACATCAGGATGTCACTTGCCCACGTCAACGTGCCACCCACGTTGGGGGGTGACGCTTGCCCACATCAGGGTGTCACTTGCCCACGCCGGGGTGACAGGGCCATCTCAGCCTGGCTGGCTGCGGGATAGAGTTGCCCCCCCACCCCGGGGGACACTCTGGGGTGCACAGCAGCCCCCCCCCAAACATCCGGGGGGGGGAAGGGCAAGAGGTTGATGGCAGAAAGGTTGGGCACAGTTTTGGGGTGCTGTTGCCTACAGGAGAGAAACACCCCCCCCATGGCCCCACCTTTTGGGCAGGGGGGGCCCAGCCGAGCTGTGGTGGTGGGGACAGGAGATAAGGCACCGATTGGCACTTCCCTAATGGCAGAGGTTTGGGCATGGCTGGGGGGGGCGAGGGGGGGTCAGGGGGGTGATAGGGACCCACGCTGCCCCACGGAGCCGGGGGGAGGGGAGTAGGGGCAACACGTGAGGCCCGGGGAATGACCTGGAGAGCGGGCAGAGCATCGGGGGGGGGAGTGTTTTGGGGAACTGGGGTGTTATCTGTGCCCGCACTCCGCAGTTCCTGTCCTGCCAACCCCCCTGGGGCGGGGGGGGGGGCAACGGTTTCCTCCCAAACCCTCCGGAGATGTCCCCAGCGAGCAGCAGGCAGGACAGCCGGGGGGGGAAGAGGGGGCGGAAAACGCCACTCGGGGTGGCCGTGCCCACCCAGACCCTGTCACCTCCCTGGCCCTGGGTCTCCCACACCCCTGGGTGCCAGCCCCCCCCCTCTGCCCCAGCAAACCCCTGTCTGGTGCTGCTGGGAGCAATGGTGCAGCCCTGGGCTGTGGGAGAGCTTGCTGCCTGCCCTGCACATCCTGCCCTGCTCACCCTGCCTGCACTGCCCGCACTCCCCTGCCCGCATTCCCCCTGCCCGCACTCCCCTTCCCTCACTCCCCTGCCCTCACTCCCCTGCCCTCACTCCCCTGCCCGCACTCCCCTGCCCGCAATCCCCTGCCCGCACTCCCCTGCCCGCACTCCCCTTCCCGCACTCCCCTGCCCGCACTCCCCTGCCCGCACTCCCCTTCCCGCACTCCCCTGCCCGCACTCCCCTGCCCGCATTCCCCCTTCCCGCACTCCCCTGCCCGCACTCCCCTGCCCTCACTCCCCTGCCCTCACTCCCCTGCCCGCACTCCCCTGCCCGCACTCCCCTTCCCGCACTCCCCTTCCCGCACTCCCCTTCCCGCACTCCCCTGCCCGCACTCCCCTGCCCGCACTCCCCTGCCCGCACTCCCCTGCCCGCACTCCCCTGCCCTCACTCCCCTGCCCTCACTCCCCTGCCCGCACTCCCCTGCCCGCATTCCCCCTTCCCGCTCTCCCCTGCCCTCACTCCCCTGCCCTCACTCCCCTGCCCTCACTCCCCTGCCCGCTCTCCCCTGCCCGCACTCCCCTGCCCGCACTCCCCTGCCCGCTCTCCCCTGCCCGCACTCCCCGATGCATGGCTGGCTGCGGCCGGTTCCCATGGCAGTGCCTGCTCAGAAATGAGGTCACCCCGCCCCGGCCTCCCCCCGCTCCGCAGAATTTTCCTCCCGCCGCTCTCCCCCAGCTCCCACACACCGGCCGCGGGGGGCCGGGACTCTCCGGGGCTCGGTGGTCCCCGGGGGCTGCCGGTGCCACCGTGGCCGTTGCCAGCCTTTCTCTGGCTCAGCCGCGGGGCGATGCCGCTGGCCGTGCCGAGGTTTGGGGGAGGGGGTGTGGGGGGGTGGGATGGATCCTGCACCCGCTGCTCCGGCTCGGGGTTCCCGGGGGAGGGAGTGGGGTTGAGGATGGGGATGGTGACGTCCCCGTGTGTCCCCTGGGGTTCACCCACCCAGCTGGGGGGCTGTGAGGGGCTCGGGGTGGGAGCTGCCTGCTCCCTGCCCTCTCCCTGCCTGCAGGGCTGGACAATCAGGTGCCTCATATTTTTATACCCTGAAGAACCTTCCTCTTAATTTCCTGCCCTTAAAAAGTCCATCACCCCGGGGTTTTCTATTTCTTGCCCATTTTCCTGTGTTTCTCAGGGGGCCAGGAAGCAAGCAGAGAAAAAAAGAGGCAGGAACAGCCAAGCCAAGGGCTGGATGGTCCCCAGGGTCCCTCTCCCCTCATCCCAGCCAAGGTTTTGGGGCTGGGGGCACAGTGGGCAGCCCACTGACCCAAGAGAAGCCCAAAGCTCCATTATTTCAGGGGGGTTTCTCGCTGCTCAAGTCTCCTGTGCCCACCCCACTGTGGGGACCACGGGAGGAAGGGAGTATCCCCGGGACCCTCGTCCCGCTCGGGGGAGCCCCTGCAGCCACCTGCAAACTAGCCGGGGAAGAGGCGCTGCCGTTGTTTAGGCTGGAGAAGGGAAAAAAATAAAACCTGATCCAGGACGTGGGCTTCAAGGCTGCTGGTGGCTCCCAGTGTCCCTGGGAGCCAGATAAGGAACCTGAGCCGTGCTGGTGATGTGGGCTCGGGTGCCAGAAAATGTTTTCAGGCTAGAAAAGCACCAGTGTAACTCGAGCAGGGTGAAGTCTTTGCCGTTGGAGGGGCTGTTAGGAAGTGAGCTTGGGTCTGTGGAGGTTCGGGGTGCTTGATGCCTTTTGGGGGGTGCCAAGCTGGCTGTGCTGGGGGGTCCTTGTGCACCCCGAGCCCCTCACTCTAATGGCTGTGGGTGCCTCGGGGCTCAGAGGGCAGGGAGGGCCGGGGTAAGGCAGTGCTTGCTCCTCTCTCCCGCAGCATCCCAGACAAAGAAGAGGTCCCTGACCCGCCCCGAGCACCTGGCATCCCCCCAGCCCTCCTTCCCCGCACGAAACCGCCGGCCCCGCTGCCGCTGGAGCTGCCGTCCAAGGCCAACCCCCTCTTCGTGCCGGAGTTCGGTGAGTATGGAGGAGTGGGGGTCACACCTGGACCCCTCCAATCTTCCCCTGTCCCAAATCTTCCCTCGGGACGCCTGGCTGGGTCTGTCCACCCAGCCATCCCATGGGTGCTGTGCTTTCCTCTCCCCTTGGTTTGTCCGTCTGTCCCTATCCGGGTCCCTCCCGCCTCCATCCCTCTCTTTGCAGTCTGGGCTGGGGATTTTCAGAGGGTGCGAGATCTGGGCTGGGGATTTGGGTGCACCCTCTCTCCGGGGTGGGGAGCAAAGGGTTTGCACGGGCTCTGAAAGCAACTGCATCAATTCACAGAGGAAAAATACACACCCCACACCCCCCCCCCCCACCGCCGGGATGTTAAATGCGTGAGCCTTCGGCTGCCCCCGAGCTGCGGCTGGAGGGTGCTGGGGGAGCACGGCAGGAGCAGGATGTAGCCCCCGACCCTTCGGCAGCTCTTTGCACCCACCAGCCTCATCCTCAGGGGCGTCACCAGGGCTCCACTGGCTCATGATGGGGTGCAGCTCCGGTCCCAGGGTGTCACCTGGGGAGCAGCCCTGGTTGGGGGCTGCTGCTCTGTAACAGCAGTAACTCGGATTTCTGTGCTCCTTTTTTTAAAAGCTCTAATCCCGCTTGAATAGCTCTGCTGAAAGGAAGAGGAAGGGGCAGGGTTCTGCTGGGCGCTGGGTGCCTGCCCGGGGTCTAGCCTGGCCAGCAGCCGTGCGGGAAACGGCACTGGTTTAACTGGGAGCTGGGGTGTGTTTCAAAAGCTCGGAGAAGCTGTGGAAAAGATTATCCTTTTTCGGTGGGTGTGAAGGGAGGGAAGTTGCTCCTGCCCCTGTCCCAGTGGCTTGGCTGCTCCTCCGCACCAAAAAAGCCCACGAGCGCTGGGTGCTGCAAAGTCTGTGGGGGGGTGGGGGGTGGTCCCCTGTGCCCAGGGAGAGCACCCACCCGCACCCCTCATCCCCACGCAGCCTGGGAGCATCCTCGCCCTGCCGCCAGCACCGGGGCTCCCTGGGCCATAACCCCATCCTCTGGATTAGGATTTGGGGAGACATCTGGTCCGGGGTAACACCAGGGTTTGGGAGAGGGTGATTGCGGGGGACAGGCTGTCTGGGGCCACTTGTCCCCTGCGGGACGGGGGCTTGCTGGCCAGGATTTCTGCTGGGTGAGGAGGGACCGGCTGCTCTCTCCTGTCTTTCTCCAGGATTTTATTTCCCGTGGGTGCTCAGGCTCGAGAGCCACTTGCTGCTCCTGGCTCTCCGATAAGGAATGGAGGGGGGGAAGGGAGGGAAATCCACCCTGAAAAACAAGCCCCTGGGGGCCCCCCAGCAGTGGGAGCTCCCGGGTAGAGGCACCAGAGCCTGGGTGAAGCCGTGGTGCCGGGGCTGGTGGCACCCAAGTCCCCTCCCGGAGGTGCCAGGAGGGTCGTGATGGTGCCGGGAGCTGCCACCAGCAGGACTTTGCCCTTCCCTGCTCTTTTCCCAAGTGCTTGATAAAATCCCCGTTGTCGCACCGACTGGTTGTTTGCCAAGGGCAGAGCGAGGCGGGGAAACCCCCCCCCTGCTCAATGCCCTCCTCCCCGGCGGGCTCCGGCGCTGGCACATCCCCGTGCTGGTGGGGACAGGCAGGGGGGTGGCAAGAGGGGGACACGGGTCCCTTCACCCCAGCTGGTTCCCAGCATCTTTCCCTCCGCTTTTGCAGATGACTCGGACTACGAAGACTCTGCCTGGGAGGAGGAATTAGCCGGACCCGCGGGGGAAATGGCCGACAAGGTTGGTCCCACCATGGGGCAGGAGCGAGCGGGGTGACCAGCCCCACGGGAGCGGCGCTGGCCTTGGGCTGCTTTGGAGATACTGGTTAGGGATGGAGTGGCCGGGTCTCCCACGGGGGGCTGGAACAGGCCCACGGGCAACCCCAGGGTCCCCGGGGAGCCCCAGCACCGCCCAGCACCCTCTCCGCAAACTTGCGTGTGCGCAGAGTGCGCGCTAGTGGACATCGGCAGCATCGCAGCCTGAATTTAACCCCCTGGATCCGGGGATTTATATCTGCCCCGCGCTCTCGAGGCTGAATTTGGGTGGGTCTGGGTGGATTTGAGGGGTTGCAGCAGCCTGAGAGACCCCTGAGTACCTGCAGCCTCCCCCCCCCCCCCCCCCCCGCCTCCACAACCTTCTCTTGGGAACAGGTTGATGGGGAGAGATGGTGCCGTGGGTGCCCCCCCAACCCCGGCCCAGCCACCCCCTGCCCCGGGGGCTGCTGCGTGGGGCACGGGCTTGTGGCTAAACAGCCGTGGCAACTTGCTGGCAGAGGTTCCCCCTTCCCGGTCCTGCCCGTCCACCCTTCACACACACACACACACACACACACACACACACCCCCGCAACTCTGGACCACGTATTGCCTGCCGCTGGGCAATGAGGGGGAAACTCAGGATTTCTCAGCAAGCACAGACACTTTTGTTTGCTAAAAATAACCAGCCCAGAGCTCAGCTCCTCCCAACAGCCTAGTTTCCGTCCTGCTGCAAGCAGGAACATGCCCCTTCCTGGGGGTTGGCAATGCCTGGGCACCTCCCGGCGCCGTGGGCATCCGCGGACCCGGGAAACGCGGGGAGTGACTTGGCATCTGCACCCCTTTTTCTCCATCTCTCCCCCCCTGCCCATCCCTCGTGGTGCAGGCGGGTGGGGAGGGGGTCAGGGGGGGTCAGTAAGGGCCTTCTGCTGTCAGCTTTGGGCAGCAGAGGCCAGGGGGGGAGGCATGGGGCTGCCCACGTCTGTCCTGGCAGGAGGATGCTGAGCCCGTGACGGGGCGGCCGCGGTCCCTGCGTGTCGACAGCCTCTTCAGCGAGGATGAGCTGATCGAGGACTACTACGATGCTCCCCGCGCCAAGTAGGAGCTCGCCTGCCCCCCCCCCCGCCTCCCCCCACTGTGTTTGTGCGTGTGTGCATGTGCACGGGCAGGGCACACGCGTGTGCACGTGGGCAAAGGAGCACGAGCGGGCAGGGAATCTGCACACGCGTGTGCGCGCAGCTTGGGAGAGGGGTGTGTGTGTTTATGTGTGTGCGCACGTGTGCGGCGATATTTTGCGTGCACGGGTATGTGCGTGTGTGTATAGGAGAGGGATGCGTGTGCTGGGGAGGGGTGTGCTTGTGCCTGGGACACACACACACAGACACACGTGTGTGTGTGTGAGCACAGGCAGAAAGCGCTTGTGCATGGTGGTGGTGGTGGGGTGTGTGCGTGCACAGGACAGGGACTCTCACGTGTGCGTGCACAAGCAGAGAGCAACTCTGCACGTCTATGGGGGTGACCCCCCCGTCCCCTTTCCCAAGGCTGGGGACACCCTGGCACGCCCCCCCCCCCCCCCCGAAGAGGTGACTGTCACCATGGTCCCTGCTTGCAAACAGCCAGCACTCGCATTGCCAGCGCCTCGGGGAAGGGTACGGGGAGGCCGAAGCGTGCGGGGGGGCTGTGCCTGCCTGCCTGCCAGCCCCCCACCGTCGTTCCCCCCCCCCCCCCCCCCCCGCCCCCCAATCTGGGAACCATCAGCCCTTAACCTCCTCCCTCGGCTCCTCGTCCCCAGCGGTGGCAGCGGCTGGAGGGACCACGGCAGCAGCCCCGGCACGCTCGGTGACAGCATGGAGGGCACTGCCACCCCGCTCTCGCCCACCATCAAAGCGGGGTGGCTGGACAAAAACCCGCCACAGGGGTGAGTGATGTGCCGGGGGGGGGGGGGGGGGCAGCCCACAGACCCCTCCACACACCCCTCCACACACCCCGGTGCCTTGGGGTGTGTGCACCACGAGGGGAGACGCTCCCCCACTGCTCCCCTCCCCCTCTTCCACCTGTAATTCCTGCTCGCAGGGGGTGTGATTTTGCTTTGGTGAAAAGCCATCCCAAGGGGTTCCTTCAGCTCCCTTCTACCCCTCGATTTCGGTTAAAAATGCCCATTTTTGAGGAAAGAGCCTTCCTCAGGGGGGCTGCGCTGAGCCAGCTGAGGAGGAGGAGGGAAGGCTGCAGCTCAAACTTCCCCCTGGCCCTGCACCGCGCGTCGGGCTCGCTGGGAAATTTGTTCTGGGGAAGCCCTGAAATAGCAGCGATCCCAGAAAGCAGCTGGGGGGGGGGGGGGAGGGAGGGGCATGTCGGGCTGGCTCCTGACCCACACCGCTGCCAGCCCCTGCTCCGCAGCGGGCACACGGGTTTGGTGGCCGTGGTGTTTGCCACAGGAGGGGCTGTGGCTGTCGGTGCCCGCGGGATGCCGGCCCCAAGCCGGGCGATCCGCAGCCCTGGCTGCAGAAGTAAAATTCAGGGTGTGGGGGCTGATGGGGGGGGGGGGGGGGTGTCTGTGTGCCCGAGGGCGAGTGAGCCCAGCAAGCCCACAGTGAGCCAGCAAGCCCAGCAAGCACACAGCGAGCCCAGTGAGCCCAGCAAGAGCACAGCGAGCCCAGCAAGTGCACAGCGAGCCCAGGGAGCCCAGCAAGCCCAGTTAGCCCAGCAAGCCCACAGTGAGCCAGCATGCCCAGCAAGTGCACAGTGAACCAGCGAGCTCAGCAAGCACACAGGGAGCCCAGCAAGAACACAGCGAGCCCAGAGAACCCTGTGAGCCCAGCGAGCCAGGGAGCCCAGCGAGCCCACCAGTGATGTTAGTGCCGATGCAGAGCATCCAGCTGCAGCGTGCTTGGTTGAAGAAGTAAAACTCCGGGGGCTGCTGGGGGTGTCTCTGTGTGCTGGAGAGCAAGTGAGCCTGGTTAGCCCACCGAGCCCAGTTAGCCCTGTTATCCCAGGGACCCCAGCGAGCCCAGTGAACCCAGCAAGTGCACAGCGAGCCAGGAAGCCCAGGGAGCCCAGTTAGCCCAGCGAGCCTGAGGAGCACGCTTCTCCCCATCCTGGCAGGGAACCCACTCAAAGAGCCCCTGTGCCAGTTGAGAGGCAAAAATCAAGCTGGAGACGTGAAGGGTATTTGGGGGCTACTTAATCTGGGCTACGAGGAAGCCTGGAGGCTGCAGTCCCGCCGAGGAGGAGGAGGAGGAGGAGGAAGCTCTGGCTGTTTGCAGCCTGGCTGCTGGGGAAGTGAGAGCAGCTGGAAGGTCCCTGGGAAGCTGCTCCGGCAGCTGCTTGCGGGGGGGAGCCGGAGCCTGGGGAAGGCAATTGGAAGGAAAACCAGAAACCCCAACCAGCGGGAGGTCGGATCAGGGCTGGGGCGGGGGGGGGGGGGGTGTCTCTGCACCCCATGGGATGGGGACGAGCTCCTGATGGGGAGTGGGAGAGCCTGCGGCAGAGCTGAGCGCTCTTAATCCCGGTCGGTGTTGGTGGTTACGTAAAGGCCGAGCGCCGGCGTCACGTGCGGCGATGGCGAAACCCGAGCAAACAAACCCTTAAGCAACAGCCACCGGGGCTGGGGGGGCTGGCACAGCAGCCGGGGGCGGGGGGGGGGGGAGCCCTGGGGGTGCAGGGCTGGCGGGGAGCTGGCTTGGCTTCCCTAGCAGCCCTGACGCCAGGGTGATGGGCTGCAGGGTTCAATGCCTTGCCCCGTGTTGTGTGGTGGGGATGTGTGCAAGGCTGGAGGGGGGGGCAGGAACAAAGGGGTCCCTGGTGGGTTCTGCTCCATTCTTGGGGTCCCCCTTCTCCCCTTCATCCCCATCCCCCCTGCCATGCAAGAGCCTGGGGTGCCACCAGCCCCACCTGGCACATGTCCCCTGCGTTGAACCCTCACCAGCTTGTAGGTCCTGAGCAGTAATTACAAATAGAGATTTGGATGGGGCGGGGGGCGGGGGTGTGTGTGTGTTGGCTTTTAGGGGCAACCCCCTTTCCCAGCTCCCACGTTTTAATTGGTGCCGGGAGGAAAGGCTGGCGTCCCCATCGCTGTCCCCAGCAGTGCCACTGGAGCTGGGGATCGATGGCGAGGTGGCCCCAGGCTTTTGGCAACTGGGGCGTGAACGCGCAAGCGGCGTCACCCCGAGTTCAAGGGCGACATAGCCCATGCCGCGGGGCCGGGGCTGACCAGGGAGGGGGCTGCTCCAGCCTGGGGGGGCTCACCCCACCCTTCCTGCACCCTGGTCCCCTCGGGTGGGTAAAGCTGGGTCACCCTGTCCCCTCCAACGGGTCGCTCTGGTCCCTTCCCAGGTCCTACATCTACCAGAAGCGCTGGGTGAAGCTCAACGCCGACTACCTCCGCTATTTTGACAGTGAAAAGGTGAGTGAGGAGGATTTGAGGGGGAGGAGGGGGTAAGGAGGTGTCCTCAGGGGGGGTCACATCCCTCTGGGCATCCCAACCATGAGATGTGGCCGTGCCAAGGGGCAGCATCCTGGGAGCAGATGGGTGCTGGGGTGATGCTGGCACCGGGGTGGGATGCTCTCGGGGTGCATCACCATCCCGTCACCCCGAGACTGGTGAGCAGTGTGTGTCTCCCCCCCACCCTACCCCATGTCCCCCCCCCCCCCCCCCCCCCCCTTCGCCCCAGGACACCTACTCCAAGCGGTTCATCCCCGTCTCCTCCATCTCCCGCATCGCCAGCGTCGGCGATCAGAAATTCGAGGTCATCACCAACAACCGCAACTTCGTGTTTCGGGCTGAGAGCGACGGTGAGCGATGGGGAGTGGGGTGGTTTGGGGGGGGGGGTGGTCCCTGCTCCAGGGTGGCCCCAACTGCTCCCCCCTTCCTCTGGCCCGAGGGGTGAGCCCCAGAGGGTCCCAAGGGCTGACCCCCCTGCCCCATCTCTCCTCCGGCCCCGCAGCGGATCGTAACGAGTGGATCCGGACCCTGCAGCAGATCGCGGAGGAGCGGAAGAGCAAAGCTCCGGAGAGGACGCCGATGTACCCGGCCACCAATGGGGCCACCGACCCGGCCGACAAGAGCGGCTTCCTCGAGCTGCGGGGGTTCAAGCACAAGCTGTTCGTGGCGGTGGCGGGGGACAAAGTTTTTCTCTATAAGAACGCTGAGGTGGGTGGCTGGGGCGGAGGGGGGTGTGGGCATTGAGGCGCCATGAGGGACCCCCCATCCCGTTTTGAGGGGGACCCCTTCCCTTTGCCTCCGCTGAGCAGAGCGGCGGTGAGCTGGGGCACCCCAGGGCTGCCCCCCCCCCCCCTCCAAAATGCAGACAGCTTGGACCCCCCCCTGGCTTCAGCCCCACCGCCTCCGAGCCTCGGGGTCCCCCCAGGAGCATCACACCCACTGCAGATTCCCCAGAGCTCCTGGCCCACCCTCTGGCACCCTGTGCACCCCCAGGGCTGGGAGCTGGGCTGGGAAGGGGCACAGGGACCCACAGCACCCCCCCTCAGCTGCCCTCCCTCACCCCCCCACCCCCCATTCCCCCTCCCCAGGATTATCGGCTGGGGATCGGCATCACCTACATCGAGATGAACGTGGGGAATGTCAAGGAGGTGGATCGCCGGGGCTTCGACCTCACGACGCCATACAGGACTTTTAGGTGAGGCGAAGGAGGGGAAGGGGTGCCGGGGGTGCTGCCCCCCACCCCACCCCCCGCTTCGCCCCACAGCCGTGCCCTCCCTCACCTCCCCGCCCGCAGTTTCTCCGCCGATTCGGACCAGGAGAAGGAGGAGTGGGTGGAAGCCATGCAGCAATCCATCGCCGAGGCTCTCTCCAACTCGGAGGTGGCCGAGAGGATCTGGGCGGTGGAATCCAACCGCTTCTGCGCCGACTGCGGCTCGCCCAAGCCCGACTGGGCTTCCATCAACCTCTGCGTCGTCATCTGCAAGAGATGCGCAGGTACCCAGGGCTTTGCGGGGGGGGGGCAGTGAGAAGGGGCCTTGCATCCCCTGCCCCGGGTGGGGGGTGCAGCAGGGCACCCAAAAAAAAGGTCCCCAACGGCTCGTCTCGCTGGCAGGGGAGCACCGGGGTTTGGGCCCCGGCATCACCAAAGTCCGGAGCCTGAAGATGGACAGGAAGGTGTGGACGGAGGAGCTGATCGAGGTATCGGTACAGTGCAACCCCAAAAGCTCTTTTTGGGGGGTCTCCCCCCCTCCCTCCCATAACAGACCCACTGGCTATGGGCTGGGGAGTTGGAGGAGCACGGCGGGGATTTTCCCAGCCCTATCCGAGCCCCTTGGGGTGACGCTGCGGGGTGGCTCGTTTGGGGAGGGGACACCCCCGTCCCCCCCAGCACCCCTCTGTCCTTGTCCCCACCGTCACTTGTGTGTCCGTGCGGAGAGCCGGCGTGGGGAGAAGATGGCTGCTGCAGGGCCGGGGCACGGGGCCAAGCAGCGGAGCAACACCCCCCCCCCCCCCCCCCACCCTTCCAAAAAAAAGCCGCCGGCGTGGAGGAATGCGTCGGCGCAGCCAGCGCCGGCGGGGGGGCAGGGGGGGGGTCAGGGCAAGGGGGGGGGCGAGCTGGGATTTGTTACCAGACCCAACCCCAGCCGCCATTTCCAGCCTGGCTGGCCTCGCTCTTCCCAGCCATCCCAGTCGGATCCAGCATTCCTGCCTGGCGTCCCACCCGCGCAGCCCCCGCCTCCGGCATCGCCTGCTCCCCGAGCCCCCAAACGCTTCCAGCTGCTGCTCCCCTTCCCGGGCAGGCTGCCCTAAACCCTTCTCTCCACCCACCCCCCCCCCCCCCCCCCCCAGCTTGCTCCAGCCCCTCCCCAGCCCTGCTTGCACCCATGCCACCCCAAAGAGCTTGGTGGGTTGGGGCGTGGGTGCTGGCAGAGCACCCCGTGGGCTCGCTGGGGTGATGTGGGGCTCCCACCCAGATGGCAAGGGGGCCACGAAGGGCCCTTTAAATCTGCCCCCGATGGATGCTGAGCATTTCCACCACCACCCCCCCACCCCCCCCCCGCCTGCAGCTGGGCGCTGCTTTCCAGATGTGATTTTCTGGGGTGGGAAAGGGAGGTGTGTGTGTGTGTGTGGGGGGGGGGTGTTGGTGGGGGCTGAGCCGCCGGTGCTGCGGGGCCGTGGGGCTGGGCAGGGAGCGTCCCTGCAGCGTGCGGGTGCTCCTGCACCCTTGCCCACCCGCGGTCCCCCTGCATCTCCCCCCCACCTCATCCAAAACATCCCACAAAGCGCCCCCCCCCTCCCCGACGCCACGGTCCGTCCCGTGCCATCGGCCTCTCCTTGTCCCTTCAGCTTTTCCACCAGCTCGGCAACGCTGTGGCCAACCAGTTCTGGGCCGCCAACGTGCCCCCCAGCGAGGCCATCGCCCCCCCCAGCAGCAGCCAGGAGAGGAGGCGCTTCCTCATCGCCAAATACCGGGAGGGCAAGTACCGCCGCTACCACCCGCTTTTTGGCAACCAGGAGGAGCTCAACAGGGTCAGTGTGTCGTCCCCCCCCCCCCCCCCCCCGGGGCTGGGCATCATCTCGGGGGTCCCGCCTGGGTGCTGAGGGGTGCAGAGGCTGTTTTGGGGAGCAATGGCTCTGCCCAAGCGGGCTGCCTAGCTTCGTACGTGGGGCTGGAAGGTTTTCCCACCCTCCTGGATCACCCCAGACACCCTGTGTCCCCACCACGCACCCCGAGCATGGGGACAGAGTGATGTCTCTTGGGGGCCCCTTGAGGACCCCCCCAGCCCCTCCTGCAGCCAGATATCCCCAGGGTTCATCTCTCTCTGGCTTGGAAATCCTGTCAGGGTCTGGCACTGGGCTGGCACGGGGTCCAAGGAGGGCTGGGGAGGCGGGGGGGCAGCAGCTCGAGCTCCCCCCACAGCATCGGGGGTACCCAACCAGCACCCCCAACCCTCGACCAGGGCACCCAATCCCAGTCCCGGCCGCTGGGAATGTTTGCACAAGAGCTGGGGGTGCGCCGGGGGCCCCGGGGTGGCTGCCGGAATTTGCATGTGGGCTTGTTTGTTTTTCTCCTCCGGCTCGCCCGTCCCGCCCCGCCGCCGTATGACTTCACCCCGGCTCCTTAAGGGAGGGATTCACCGCCCGCTCCAAAATTTTTCGCCCAGTTCCAGCCTCCTTTGTCCTGCCCCAGGCTACTGGGAGGCGGTGGGAGTCCAGCTGCTCGCCACGCTCCCACCCGGCTCCTTTCGCCGGGGTGACTCCTCACCGGGGAGGGGGGGGGGGGTCCTCTCCTCCTCCTCCTCGGGAGCCTTCGGCCTCACCGGCCATCCTCTCCTGGCTCTGCCGCAGGCTCTGTGTGCGGCCGTCACCACCAGTGACCTGGCAGAGACGCAGGCTCTGCTCTTCTGCGGGGCGGCCGTGACCTGTGACACGGGGGACCCCCAGTACCCCACGCCCTTGGCCTTGGCTGAGAAGAGCGGGCAGAGGCTGCAGATGGAGTTCCTGCTCCACAACAAAAACTCCGGTAAGGGCTGATCCCTTGAACCCCCCCCCCAGCCCTCCAAGGGCTTAAACCCACCGCCTGGAATTCCCTGCCAGCTGTCAGGGTGTCCCGGGGGGTTGCAGGGATGATTTGAGCTGATCCTGGCTCCGTATCCCCCACCCAGCAGCTTCCCGGCACGGGGATCTCCGGCTTTGCACCCCGGGAGAGGGATTCTGGGGAGCCCTTGGCTCAGGGCTGGGGAGGGAGGCTCCGTCCCAGTTTGGGGACGCAGGGCTGGAGTCCCACTGGGGATGCGGGCTGGTGCTCCGGGCACTGGGAGGGATGGGACCAAGCTCTCCCGCACCGTCCCAGCCCTCTGCGGGCACCCCCAGCCACCTCAGGTGGGCAGCCCCCCACTTCCAGCATCCCCACCAGGACCGGTCTGCCACCATTTTACAGACCATCCCCCCCCTGCTATACCTTCCCTTCCCCACTCCTGTGCCACTAAAAGTGCCTACCCCCCAACAAACCACTCTCCGGGTGTGTGTGCGGGGGGTCGGCTCCCACGGGACCGATCCGCACCCTACCGTGGGGCGAAGCTGGGATGGAGGGGGGCTGGGGGCCATCACCTCTCCTTCACCACCTCGGTGGCCAAGCCCGTCCCGCAGAAGCTGGAATTTGCCCAAAATCGGGGCTGGCTTGGCTGGTCTGGACATGTCAGCAAAAAAAAGGGGGGGTGGGGGGGTGGGGAAAGCGGTGAGGCTGCCCCCGTGAGCCCTGAGCTCATCCTGCCGGGGCCAGCTCTGGCAGACAGCTTGTGGGGGGTCAGCCAGTCCTGGGGGTGCTTTAGGGGTGTCCCTGCACCCCATCTCTGCTCGGTCCCCAGAGGAAATGGGGGGGGGGGGGGGGGTGCGTCTTCCCGGCAGGCAGGGTCGGGAAACTGAGGCAGGGGAGGGGTCGTGCCCGTGGTCGCACGGGGAGGCTGCGGCAGAGCCCTGGGCTGTTTTTTGAGCCACAGGACTGCAGTGCTCTGCCCTCCTCCTCCTGTGGGGCAGCAGGGACCTGGAACAGCCTGGGGGGGGGACACACACCTGGATGATGGGGGACACCGGTCCCCACCTCCCAGAATGTCCCCGTCTCAGCCCAGTGGTTGGGGCTGGACCCCTCCCTGGGGGACAACACGGACTGCTGTCACCCTGTCCCGCACCCAGCGGGGTCCTGCTGCGTCCCATAGCGCGGGGCGGGGGAATCTGCAACGGGGGTGCAGCCCCCCAATTTTCCCCCTCGCCCCTGCTGTCGCCCCGTTTGCAGAGACGCCGCGCCTGGAGGTGGGGGGCAGCGAGGAGAAGCCCTACTCGGTGCCCCTGCCCTCTGTCACCCACAACGGCTTCCTCTACAAGACTCCCTCCATGGCCAAGCCCGTCAGCGAGAGGAAGGGCCAGGAAGGTACATGGGGGCCCGTCGGGGAGGGAAATAGGGGTGCAGGGGGGCAAAGGAGGGGCCCAGAGCTGGCACCCAAAGGGGTTCTGGGGAGGCTGGTGGGGGGGTTGCCCCGTCCCCTTCTCCCCAGGGCGCTGGGGAGGGAGTGGGGAGGTGCAGCATCACCTGGTTTGAGTAGAGGAGGGTGGGTGTTGCAGCTGCGGGGGGGTGTTAAGGTTTGGGGGGTGGGGGTGGGGGTGGGGTGTGGGGGGAGCACCCAGTGGGTGCTGAGGGATCGCCCAGCACCACCCTGTGCCGCGCAGAGTTCAGCCGGCGGTGGTGCACGCTGCAGGATGGCGTCCTCAGCTACTACGAGAACGACCGCAACGCCGTGCCCAACGGCGAGGTGAAGGTGGAGGAGATCGTGTGCCTGGTGAGCAACCCGCCCCACGCCCACGGGTAAGGCTGTACCCCCCCGCACCCCCCCCCCCGAACCCTACCCCCCCCCCCCCCCCCCCCCCCCCCCCCCCCACGCCACGGCACCCCGACATCCCTGCCATGGGGGGGGGCTGCTGGCCCCAACCCCACTGCTGGCCCCTGCAGCGAGCCAGAGTCTTTGCAAGGGGTCTGTGTAACCCCTTTGCAGCCCCTTTGCAGTCCATTTGTAATCCCTGTGCAATCCCTTTGCACCTCCTTTGCAGCCCCTTTGCACTCCCTATGCAATCCCTTTCCTTTGCAGGCCCTTTGCAATTGCCTTGCAACTCCTTTTCAACCACTTCGCAGCCTCTTTGCAATGCATTTGCACCCCCTCTGCTATGCCTCTGCAACCCCTTTGCAGCCCCTTTGTAATCCCTGTGCAATCCCTTTGCACCTCCTTTGCAGCCCCTTTGCAACCCCTTTGCAGCCCCTTTGCAGCCCCTCTGCACTCCCTATGCAATCCCTTTGCACCTCCTTTGCAGCCTTTTTGCAATTGCTTTGCAACTCCTTTTCAACCACTTTGCAGCCTCTTTGCAACCCATTTGCACCCCCTTTGCAGCCCCGCTGCGATCCGTCTGCAATCCCTTTGCAGCTCCTTTGCAGCCCCTTTGTAATCCTTGTGCAATCCCTTTGCATCTCCTTTGCAGCCCCTTTGCAATTGCTTTGCAACTCCTTTTCAACCACTTTGCAGCCTCTTTGCAACCCATTTGCACCCCCTTTGCAGCCCCTCTGCGATCCGTCTGCAATCCCTTTGCAGCTCCTTTGCAGCCCCTTTGTAATCCTTGTGCAATGCCTTTGCATCTCCTTTGCAGCCCCTTTGCAATTGCTTTGCAACTCCTTTTCAACCACTTTGCAGCCTCTTTGCAACCCATTTGCACCCCTTTTGCAGCCCCTCTGCAATCCCTTTGCAGGCCCTTTGCAGCCCCTTTCATCCCCTTTGCAATTGCTTTGCAATCCCTTTGCAGCTGCTTTGTAACCCCTTTGCAATCCTTCTCTAATCCCTTTGCAGCCCCTTTGTAACCCCTTTGTAGCCCTTTTGCAGCCCCTTTGTAACCCCTTTGCATCCCCTTTGAAACTCCTTTGTAACCCCTTTGCTGCCCCTTTCCATCCCCTTTGCAGTTGCTTTGTAGCCCCTGTGCAGCCCTTTTGTAAACCCTTGGGCATCCCCTTTGTAACCCCTTTGCATTCCCTTTGTAACCCCTTTGTAACCCCTTTGCACCTTCTCTTTTACCCCCCGTGCTTTTTGCGAGACCTCGTCTCCATTCCCCGTCGCAGGATCCTCTGTTTTACCTGCGCATGTTCAGTCAGGAAGGGGCTCCTCTTGCCGGGGAGGACTTTCCCCTACTCCAGGACAAGTTTTTACTATGTTAGTAAGGAAAGCTCACCCATGGTTCAAGTCGTTCTCGCCTTGGTTTTATCAGCACCTTTTGATCCTGGGCACTTCTCTGGGTATTTCCCCGACTGGCAGTCTCATGGTGTCACCCCTCGCGCTCAGCCCAGGAGTTTTTTGGTTTAATCACAGCGTTGCTTCCTCAAGGTCGAGTTCCCCCATTCCTTTATCAGCTCCTGGCATTCTCTCGCCACCCTCCTTCGGCCGTTTTATCACGGAAGATGCAACAGCGGGGTGTTCTCCCCGCCCCGCCATGCCCCGCCACCCACCCAACTCCATCCCACCCGCCCCCCGTGAGCACCCAGATTTCCCCCTTCCCTCCCTCCCGCAGGATCGAGAGCACGTTCGAGGTCTACATCGAGTCGGAGAGGCTCTATCTCTTCGGGCTGGAGAGCCCCGACTCCGCTCGGGAATGGCTCAAATCCATTGCCAAGGTAGAAGGGGATGGCTGAGGGGGAGGCCCGGGGGGCTGGAGGGGTGATGGAGAGGATGCTGATGGGTCCCCCATCTGCCTGGCTCAGTCCTTCGTCCCCCCCCGCGCCGAGGAGCTGCTGGCTCTCGATTTCGAGCGCGTCGGCCGGCTCTACTACAAGGGTGGCCTCAACCTGGAGCGAGCCGAGGAGGGCTGGTTCGCCCTGGCCGGCTCCGCGCTCCACGTCTGCTTGGAAGGCGGCGAGCGGCAGGAGCCTCTCCAGCTGCGCAAGCTGCAGGAGCTCTGTGAGTCCCCCCCCCTGCCCCACGCCGGGCACTTTGGATATTGGGGGGGGTGGGGTGTACCCAGAGAGGGTGGGGGCGACCCCTAAATCCTCCTGGGTTGCACCCAGGTTGTGGCGGGGAGGGTGGTTTGGGGTGGAGCCGCTCTCCCTCCTCTCCCATCCTTTTAGCCATCCCTGGAAAGTTGATGCTTGTCCTGTTTGGGTCTGTTGGCCACCCCCCCCACACCTCCGTGGCGTGGGGGTGGGTGTGTGTGTGGGGGCTGGGGACCCCCTGTTCCCACGGGTGACGAGCTCTCTGCCTTCCCTTCCAGCCATCCAGGGAGACAACGAGGTGTTGGTGCTGGTGGAGAGGCGGAGGTAAAAGCAAAGGTGTGGGGGGGGAAGTGGCGGTGGGGGGGGGGGGTTAGACCCCTCCAGCGAATTATCACACCCTGCCCGAGCCCACTTTCATCCTGGGGTGCCTTCACCCTCCCCACCATCACTGGGGACCCCCAAAAGAGAGTCAGGACCACCCCCAGGCCCCCAGGGCCAGCCTTCCCGGGGGTCCCAGCTGCATGGTGGTGGAGTTTGAGAGGTGCAACTGGACACCACCCCCCCCCCCCCCCCGCCTCGCTGAGGCCAGGCTTGCTGGCAGGACTCTGTACATCCAAGGGGAGAGGAAACTGGATTTCCTGGGCTGGGTCCATGCCATCCAAAAGGCCGCGGGCAGCTCAGGGGACACGTTGTCGGAGCAGCAGCTGACCGAGTCGGACGTCCCGCTGCTGGTGGATCGCTGCATCGACTACATCACCCAGTGCGGTACGTGCCGTCAGTGGGGAGTTCAGGGCCCTTTAGGGCCCCTTTCCCCACGGAGAGGTGTGGGGGGGAGGAGGGGGCTCATCCCCACCGGCTCTGCCCCAGGGCTGACGTCCGAGGGCATCTACCGCAAGAGCGGGCAGAACTCCAAGACCACCAGCTTGCTGGAGATGCTGCGCCGGGACGCCCGCAGCGTCCGGCTGAAGGAGGGGGAGCATCAGGTGGACGATGTCGCCAACACCCTCAAACGCTTCTTCCGCGACCTTGGCGATGGGCTCTTCACCGGGCGGTGGGGCCAGGACTGGCTGCGGGCGACTGGTGAGCTGCTGGGGGTGTGGGTCGGGCTCCCCGGCTCTGCTGCAGCCCCGCTTTGTCCTCTCCTGCCAGGCTGTGGGGTGCACATCTGCACCCCACATGCTCCGGGGGGGGGTGGGGGTGGGGGGCTGAGAGGTGGGTGGGGAGTGGAGTGAGCCCACAGTGACCCCAGGCAGCCCCATGAGACAGGGCAGAGAGCCAGACCCCCCCCTCCCTCACCCCCTGCCCATTGCATCTGGAGCCGGTTCCTAAATATTGGGGGTGGACATAACCAGCGGCAGAACAGCCACAGGACGTGGCCCCGGGGAGCTGGGGTGCTCCGGCCTCGCAGAGCTGGGGTGCTCTGGCCCCACAGAGCTGGGGTGCTCCAGCCCTGGGATGCTCTGGCCCCATGGAGCTGGGGTGTTCTGGTCCTACGGAGCTGGGGTGTTCTGATCCCACAGAACTGGGGTGCTCTGGTCCCACAGAACTGGGGTGCTCTGGTCCCACGGAGCTGGGGTGCTCTGGCCCCATGGAGCTGGGATGCTCAGGCCCCACAGAGCTGGGGTGCTCCAGCCCTGGGATGCTCTGGTCCCACGGAGCTGGCGTGCTCTGGTCCCACGGAGCTGGCGTGCTCTGGTCCCACGGAGCTGGGGTGCTCTGGTCCCACGGAGCTGGGGTGCTCCAGCCCTGGGATGCTCTGGTCCCACGGAGCTGGGGTGCTCTGGTCCCACAGAACTGGGGTGCTTTGGTCCCACGGAGCTGGGGTGCTCTGGTCCCACGGAGCTGGGGTGCTCTGGCCCCACAGAGCTGGGGTGCTCTGGTCCCATGGAGCTGGGATGCTCTGGACCCGTGGAGCTGGGATGCTCCAGCCCTGGGATGCTCTGGCCCCACAGAGCTGGGACGCTCCGTCCCCACAGTGGGGCAGGAGGGTCTGAGGTGGGGTCTGGTGAGGGGGATGATTAATCTCACCTTCGTGCCCCTCCATGCTCCTCCTCTCCCTCGTGCCCCTCTCGCAGGGCTGGAGGATGAGGAGGCAAAGATTGGCGAGTACCGGCGGCTCCTGGGCACCCTCCCCACGGTGAACCGGGCCACGCTGAAGACGCTCATCAACCACCTCTTTCGGTACGACGTGGGGGGCAGGTCCACGGCACGGCAGAGCCCGGGCTCCCGTGGGGCATCGCCCCATTTGCTGGGTGGTCCTGGGGAGGCTGTGGGGTGGGAGGAGAGCCCTTGTCCCTCCATCCACATCCCCAGCGAGGAAAAGAGCGGGATTTGGGGTTAAGCTGCGCCCAAAGCTGAGCATCGCATCTCGGCGTGGGGTGCATTCCCCTTGGCAAGGCTGAGGGGGGGTGGTTCCTGGGGGGGCTCCAGGGCAGGAATCGCAACAGGGTTCCCCACAGGGTCCAGCTCTTCTCCGGGGAGAATCAGATGAACACGCACAACTTGGCCATCGTCTTCGGGCCCACGCTCTTCCAGACGGACGGGAAGGACTACAAGGCAGGCCGTGTGGTGGAGGACCTCATCAGCCACTACGTGAAGATCTTTAATGTAGGTTCACCCTGGCTCCGGCGCTGCTCCGGGTCATGCCGGTGTGCGGACATTCCCAGGGGATGGGGAGGTGGAAGGAGGAGGAAGCTGGGTCTACTCTGTCTGCAGACATCTCCCGTGGGGAGGGGGGCCGATGTTCCTGCAAACCCTGGAGACCCCCGAGGCTGGAGGTGTTGGGCAGGGGAGCAGATTCTCCTGGGGACCCCCATCTGCTGCTGCGGTGACACTTAAAATGGGTCTGGTCATCTCTGATGGCTCCTTGGGCTCCTCTTCCTTGGCAGGTCAACGACCAAGAGATGAAGAAGCAGCAAGATGAGATCATGGCCATCATGAAGATGCGGGAGGCAGCGTCCAGTGGGACGCAGGTGCGTCCCGGACACGGTGACCTTCTTGGGGCATCCTCTTCGCATGGGGACCTCACCGCCTGCTCCAGCATCTCCTGGAGATGCTCCAGGCCGGGGGTGTCCACGCGGGGAAGGGGGGGGGATTTAGCCCACACGTGGGAAGCTGCAGGTCGAAGGGCTTTCCTGTTGTCCTTCAGCAAGCCGGGGACTTCATCTGTACCGTCTACCTGGAGGAGAAGAAGACGGAGGCAGAGCAGCACGTCAAGGTGAGCGGTGGGTGGAGGGCGCAGAGGGGACAGAGACCCCCCCTTATATGGCCAAACCTCTGTGGTGTCATGGGGGGGTGCTCTGAGCTGGCACAAGGGTGGCATGGCCCCAGACACTGGCTGATGGAGGCCTGGCCCTTCCCCCCAGATCCCGGCCACGATGACGGCTGAGGAGCTCACCTTCGAGATCCTGGACCGGAGGAAAATCGTCATGAAGGAGAAGGACTATTGGAGCTGCTTTGAAGTGAACGAGAGGGAGGAGGCAGGTTGGTGTGGGGGTGTGAGGGTGGTGGGGGTGGGGATGGGGGTGGAGATGGAGATGGATGGGGATGGGAATGGTGATGGAGATGGAGATGGTGATGGAGATGATGATGGAGATGGAGATGGAGATGGAGCTGGGGATGGAGATGGAGTTGGGGATGGGGATTGAGATCGGGATGGAGATGATTATGGGGATGGAGATGGAAAAGGAGATGGGGATGGTGATGATGGTAGAGATATGATTGGAGATGGAGATGGAGGTGAAGATGGGGATGAGGATGAGGATGGGGATGGGGATGGGATGGATATATAAATAAGGATGGTGATGGGGATGGAGATGGAAATGGAGGTGGTGATGGTGATGGTGGTGGACATGGGGATGGAGATGGAGGTGGGGATGGAGATAGTGATGGTGATAGTGATGGTGATGGAGATATGGATGAGGATGGAGAGGGAGGTGGAGATGGGGATGAGGATGGAGATGGGGATGAGATGGAGATAGAAGTAGGGTTGGTGATGGAGCTGGTGATGGAGAAGGGAATGGAGATGGAGCTGGTGATGGAAAAGGGAATGGAGATGGGGATGGTGATGGGGATGGACATATGGATGGGGATGGAGATGGGGATGGAGATATGAATGGAGATGGAGGTGATGGAGATGGAGATAGTGATGGTGATGGAGATATGGATGGAGATGAAGATGGAGATGGGGATGGTGATGATGGTGGTGGTGGAGATGGGGATGAGAAGGCTCTCATGAGGACCACACCATGGAGCAGTGCTGGGACGGGCTACAGGTGCTCGGGGGAGGCCGGCTGTGGGGCCGCAGCTTTGCTCGCCACATCCAGGTTGCACGTGGCCGAGCGCTGCAGATGGGCCGGTGGCTGGGGCCAGGACCCACAGGGCATCTGTCTGCAGCCTTGGGGGGATCAAACGCCTCTGAGACCTGGTGGGGGGTGTCCAGGCTCCCCGGCCACAGGGAGCAGCTCTGGGGTGCTCGTAGGCAGCAGCAAGTGAGAGCAGGATGAGACCCTGGTCCTGCCCACCAGTGCCAGCTCCCGAGGGAGATGGGCAGGGTGCTGAGCCCGATGCTGGGCACCACTGGGAGCCTCCGCTGAGCTGGTTTGGGCCCTGCCAGCCCCAAGCCACCCTCCAGCCCCCGCGGGAGACAAGCAGGAGCTTGATGGGCGCTGGAGACACATGTGTGACCCCTCGCTGGGGGGGGTGCCACCCCCCGGGGGTGCTGCCTGAGCCCTGCCCGTTTCCCTGCCTGGCAGAGCGGCCCTTGCACTACTCGGAAAAGGTCCTGCCCATCCTGCACGGGCTGGGGACGGAGAGTTACCTGGTGGTGAAGAAGCAGATGTCCATGGAGAACATGCTCATCTACCTCGGTGAGGGGCCGGGGAGCCACGGAGGGGATGGGGTGGGGTGGGGATGAAGATGGGGTGGGATGGGATGGAGATGGAAGTGAGGATGGGATGGGGTGGGATGGGGATGGGAATGGGATGAGATGGAATGGGAATGGGGATGGGGATGAAAATGGAGATGGGATGAGGATGGAATGGGATGGGGAATGGGAATGAGGATGGGATGGGCTGGGGTGGGGTGGGCTGGAGATGGGGATGGGATGAGATGAAATGGGAATGAGGATGGGGATGGGATGAGGATGGGATGGGGAATGGGGATGAGGATGGCATGGGATGGGATGGGATGGGATGGAGATGGAGATGAGGATGGGGATGGGGATGGGGATGAGCATGTGATGGGGATGGGGATGGGATGGGGACAGGGATGGGATGGGGACAGGGATGGGATGGAGTTGGGGAGAGGGATGAGTTTGGGGTGGTGATGGGATGGAGATATGGATGGGGATTGGGACAGGGATGGGGACAGGGATTGGGACAGCACCCCATCCTACCAGCTGCGACCCCATAGTAAAACCCCAAGGGACTGACCATTCCCGGGCCACATCCTGCCTGGCCGTGCCCGCAGAGCAGGCACCTGCCCCGTCAGTCCCCGTGCTGGGGCTGGGACTGGGTGCTGTGTACTCATATCTGGGGAGACAGGGCCGGGGGGGGGGGGGGCTTGCTCTTGCCCTGCGGGCTGGGGTCTGGCTGCACCCCGCGCCCTTGCTGGGGGCCCTGACCCCCCCGGGGGGGCCGGAGCCGCTCAGGCCTGTGCCCCCAGCCAGCAGAGTGGGTGACTGCAAGCACGGCATGATGAAATTCCGGGAGGAGAGGAACCTGCTGGGGCTGGGCCTGAGCACTGGCTTCCACGACCGCTACTTCATCCTCAACCACACCTGCCTGCGCCTCTACAAGGAAGTGCGGGTGAGCCCTGCCTGTCCCTGCCTGTCCCTGCCGGCTCCCTGCCTGTCCCTGCCTGCTCCCTGCCTGCTCCCTGCCTGTCCCTGCCTGCTCCCTGCCTGTCCCTGCCTGCTCCCTGCCTGCTCCCTGCCTGTCCCTGCCTGTCCCTGCCTGCTCCCTGCCTGTCCCTGCCTGCTCCTGCCTGTCCCTGCCTGTTCCTGCCTGCTCCCTGCCTGCTCCCTGCCTGTCCCTGCCTGTCCCTGCCTGCTCCCTGCCTGTCCCTGCCTGCTCCCTGCCTGCTCCCTGCCTGTCCCTGCCTGTCCCTGCCTGCTCCCTGCCTGTCCCTGCCTGTCCCTGCCTGTCCCTGCCTGCTCCTGCCTGTCCCTGCCTGTCCCTGCCTGCTCCCTGCCTGCTCCCTGCCTGTCCCTGCCGGCTCCCTGCCTGTCCCTGCCTGCTCCCTGCCTGCTCCCTGCCTGTCCCTGCCTGCTCCCTGCCTGTCCCTGCCGGTCCCTGCCTGTCCCTGCCTGTCCCTACCTGCTCCCTGCCTGCTCCCTGCCTGTCCCTGCCTTCACTTTCCTTCCCAGTGGTGCTGTGTTGGGACATCAGTTGGGATGCACTGGGGCACTGCAGGCAGCACTGGGGCATCGCAGGCAGCGCTGGTGCTGGCACCCCCGAAATGTTGTCTGGCTCCCTTGTCTGACACTGCACCCCAGCATGTTGCTGCCTCCTTCCCCCGTCCCCTGCCCCTCCCCAGCCTGTCCCCTGCCTGTCCCCTGCCCATCCCCTGCTTTTCCCCTGTCCCCTGCCCGTCCGTAGGGTCCGCAGGCAGGTGCTCCCCTCTCTCCCGCTGCACCTCAGCGTGTCCCCCCCCATCACTTTGCACCCCCATTATCCGGGCTCCTCCGGTTTGGGGGGTTCCGCTGCCCATTGCTCCAGGCAGCCAGAGCGGGGGATGAAGGGGGGGATATGTGGTGTGTCCCCCCCCATCCCGCCAGCATTGCGCTGGGCTCTTGTCACGCCGCTCACATGTGTCCCCCCATCATGTCACTTGTGGCTTGTGCCGCACTGGGGGGGATCCTGGGTTGAAGGGGGGGGTGGAGTTGTGGGGCTTTGCCCCTACAAAACATCTCCCAGCAAATGGGGGGGTGATGCTGGGACCGGGTGTGCTCTGGCTTTGCTGGGACACCTCATTTTGTCCCCGTCCCCCCCTCTTGGGCACAGGGAGGGGGTGCAGCTCACAGGCAGCACCCCAAGGGGTGCTCTGATGTTGGGGGGGGAGCCCAGCAGAGCCAAAGCGGGACAGGGGGAGTTGGGGGCACCCACCTTCACCCACCGTGGCGGCGGGGGGGCACTGCTGCCCCAGCCATGATGCTGAGGAGGGGTGTGACTTGGGTGTCCCCACGGGGGACATGGAATGCCAGGCTCTGGGGACCCCCATCTCCGGGGTGACCCCATGCAGGGACAGGCCTCTCGTGTCCTCCCCCTTGCCCACAGACACCCCCTCTGCTCTGTCCTGGGATTCACCCTTGACCTTGGCTTCACCACATCCCCACGGCTTCTCCCCCCAAAACCGAACCCCCATCCTGGCGGGGGGCAGGGGGGACAGGGTGGCGAAGGGTCTGGCGGTAGCCCGGCTGTCCCCAACCCTAGGCCATGTCCCCTGTCCCCCCCCTCCCCCAGAGCCACAAGCCGGAGAAGGAGTGGCCCGTCAGGAACCTGAAGGTTTACCTGGGTATCAAGAAGAAGCTTCGACCCCCGACGTGGTGAGGGGAGGGGGACGGGGACAGGGACGGGGACGGGGACAGGGATGGGGACAGGGATGAGGATGGGGACAGGAACAGGGATGGGGATAGGACAGGGATGGGGATGGGGATGGGGACAGGGACAGGACAGGGATGAGGATGGGGATGGGGATGGGGACAGGACGGGGATGGGGACAGGATGGGGATGGGGACAGGGACGGGGATGGGGACAGGGACAGGACAGGGATGGGGACAGGGATGGGGATGGGGACAGGGACAGGGACGAGGCTGGGGAGAGGGGTGAGGAAGGGACAGGGCTGGGGACAAGGGCCAGGGCTGGGGATGAGGATGGCGACAGGGACTGGGATGGTTTTGGCTGCTGGGACCCGTCTTGCCACCAGGTGTCAGAGCAGCCTCGCAGAGCCCGTCTGCGGTGGGGGGGGTGCGGGGGTGTGTGCGTGCGTGTCAGCGTGTGTGTGCATGCATGTGCATGCGTGTGTATGTGTGTGCATGTCTGTGTGCATGTGCATATGGCGTGTGCACATGCACGTGTGCGCATGTGGGTGTGTGCATGCCTGTCAGTGTGCATGGGTGTGCATGTGTGTGCGTGCATGTCACCGTGCGTGTGCATGGGTGCGCATGTGTGCATGCGTGTCAGCATGTGTGTGCATGTCAGCATCTGTGTGCATGTGTGTGCATGTCTGTGTGCATGTGCATATGGCCTGTGCACATGCACGTGCGCGCATGCCTGTCAGCGTGCATGTGTCTGCATATGAGTGCGTGAGTGTGCACGTCAGCGAGGTGTGTGCATGCGTGTGTGTGTGCACATGTGCAGCATGTAAATGTGCACGTCAGTTGTACATGTGGGTGTGTGCATGCATGTCAGAGGCTGCGTGTGTGCACACATGTCAGTGTGCATGGGTGTGCATGTGCATATGGGTGTGTGCATGTGGGAAAATGTGGGGGGGGGGTTGCAGGGCCCCGGGGGGGTTTGCAGAGCCCCGGGGGGGTTTGCAGGGTTTGGGGGGGTGGGTTGCAGGGTTGGGGGGGGGGGGTTTGCAGGGTTGGGGGGGGTTGCAGGGGCTGGGGGGGTTGCAGGAGCCGGGGGGGGGTTGCAGGGGCCGGGGGGTGTTGCAGGGTGTGGGGGGAGTGTTTGCAGGCTCAGGGGGTGGTGGGTTGCAGAGCCGCTGCCCCTCACGTTTGTGCTTCTCCCCCAGCTGGGGCTTCACCGTCCTCTACGAAACCGAGAAGCACGAGAAGCAGCAATGGTGAGGGCGAGGGGGGCCGCTGGGACCTGTCCCTGTCCTGCCAGACAGATGGACACGGGGTGGCTGCTCTCCAGAGCTGGGGTGCCTTTGCTGGAGGGGTGTAGATGGGGATTTCTGTGGGCAGAGCTTGGCTGGGCACCCGTGGACCCACTCAGGATCCCACCAGGGGCGGTGGCTGTCCCACCTTGTCCCCCTCAGTCCCCCCTTGTCCCCTTCAATCCCCACCCTCATCCCCTTTTGTTCTCCCCTTGTCCCCTTCAGTCCCCTCCTTGACCCCTTTGGTCCCCCCCTGTCCCCTCTGACCCCCGCCTCGTCCTCTCCAATGCCCCCCTCATGTCGTTCAGTCCCCCCCTTGTCCCCTTCCATCCCCCTCTCGTCCCCTTTGGTCCTCCCCTTGTCCCCTTCAGTCCCTCCCCTTGTCCCCTTTGGTCCCCACTTGTCTCCTTCAGTCCCTGCCTTGTATTCTCTGATGCCCCTTGTCCCCTTCAGTCCCTTCCTTGTCCCCTTCCGTCCCTTCCTTGTCCCCTTCCATCCCCCCTTGTCCCCTTCAGTCCCCCCCTTTGATACCCCCTTGTCCACTTCAGTCCCCCTCTCATCCCCTTTGGTCCCCCTTTTGGTCCCCCCTTGTCTCCTTCACTCCACCCCCCTTGTCCTCTCCGATCCCCCCCTTGTACTCTCCAATGCCCCTCTTGTCCCCTTCAGTCCCCCGCCTTGTCCCCTTCAATCCCCCCTCAACCCCTTTGGTCCCCTCCTAGTGTCCTCCAGTCCCCTCCTCATCCCTTTCAGTCCCCCCCCTTGTCCCCTTCACTCCCCACCTTGTCCCTTTTGATCCCCCCCTATCCCCTTCGCTCCCCACCTTGTCCCCTTTGATCCCCCCCCCGTCCCCTTCGCTCCCCACCTTGTCCCCTTTGATCCCCCACCCCGTCCCCTTCGCTCCCCACCTTGTCCCCTTTGATCCCCCACCCCGTCCCCTTCGCTCCCCACCTTGTCCCCTTTGATCCCCCCCCCATCCCCTTTGCTCCCCCCCTTGTCCCCTTTGATCCCCCCCTTGTCCCCTCGCCTCCTCATGCAAAGCACCGGCTCGGTCCCCAGCAGCCCCTGGAGCCGAGGAGCAGGGGGTGGGGTGGGGGTGTCCCCGAGGGTTCACCCCTCACCCCGTGTGCCCCCCCCTCTGTGGCGCTGACGCCGTGTCCCCACAGGTACCTGTGCTGTGACACCCAGGCCGACCTGCGGGAGTGGTTCGCCACCTTCCTCCACGTGCAGGTGGGGAGCGGGCAGGGTGACAACCCGGGGTGGGGACACAGACACACACACACACACACACACACGCGCTTGGCTAGCAGAAACCCTTTCGGGGTAGCCAAGCATCCTTAGAACGCTGGCATCCTGGCGCGGAGGAGAGGTTCCCCGGGTGGCTGAGGATCGCAGAGGTGGTCTTCAGCTCTCGTTCCCCCCCCACACACACACTTCTTGTCCCCTCTGTCCCCAGAACGGCGGGGCCCTGTGGCCCTCGGACACCTCCAAGGTGCGGGCGTCGCGGTCGCAGCCGGACTCCAGGCTGGGGAACATCTCCCTCATCCCGCTGCGGGGCAACGAGAGCGAGATGAGGAACAGTGTGGCTGCTTTTGCTACTGACCCCCTAACCGTGAGTGAGATGGGACACACCCACCCCCCCCCTACACCCACCCCCCCATCCCACCCTCCTCGGGGCCGTGTCGCCCCTGCACCACGCGCTGGCGGAGGTCCTGGTCCCCAAATCTTGGGGTATGTGGGGTGTCCCCACTCCCATTCCTTAAGCACCAGCATCAGCTTCTGGTCACCCTGGAAAGAGCTGGGAGCGGGGGAAAAGGAGTAGGGGGGGTTGATCCTTTGGGTGCCCTCCCCAGTATTGGGGTGTTTTCCCAGGTGTGGGGGTGCCCCAAACCGAGGGGGTGCTGCCGGGCTCCTGATTTTTCCTATACCAGTGGGGTGGTTTCTCCATCCCGGTCCCAAAGCAACCCCTCCTCCTGCTGTCCTGCTGTCTGTCTGTGCAACAGCCGTCCTGCCCAGAGGGGGGGACACAGAAACACACTGGGTATCCCCAACACTGCAGCGTCCCCTTGGAGGATGTGCTGGGGGGGTGTGTGTGTGGAAGATTCCCTGTGCTCTGAGTTTTCACCCCCCCTCCATCCCCTGGGGCTCCGGGTGATGCCGGGATGTGGAGGGTGCTGGGGACTCACGGGGACCTCTCTGCTTTTTGCCCCCAGCTCCTGCGAAACGTCTGAGCTGGAGGCCTGACACGCTGGTAAGCGGTGAACCCCCCATTCCAACCCCGTGCCCCCAACTCTTGCCTGCCTCCTCCCCCCCCCCCCCCAAACCCCTCCCATCCCACCGGCGCAGGCAGCGGGAGGTGAGAGCTGATGGCTCTGGCTGTCCCACTGCCACCCCGGCTTGGGGACACAGGCAAACGACACACATCCACGGTGGTTCCCCCCTCCCTGCATGTCCCCCCTGCAAGGTGGGACACACACACACACACACACACACACACACACACACACGGCATCCCCCTCCCCTTCGCTGACCCCTCGCTCTCCCCTTGTGCCGTAGGTTCGTCCGCAAGCGGGGATCCCCTCAGGGACCCCCCATCAGCCCCGCACCCCAGTACCTGCTGGGGGTCCCACCAGCTCCAGAACCTCCTCTGGGCCTTCTTTGCCACCTCCCTCGCCCCCCCCCCCCCCTCAGTGGCTGACGGGCAACCAAGAGGGGAAAGAACAGCGAGGCCACCCACGCACCCCTGGAGCTGGGCTCAGGAGCCCACGGGGACCAGGCAGTGCCAGCCCCCCCCGGCCCAGCACAGCCATGGGGGGTGGGGGGTGCTGCAGCCGTTTTGGGGCGGGGGGGAGGGGCTCTTGCTTTTCCTCTCTTTTTAGAAGTCTCTTTCCTTTCCAATGACACTCCCGGCGGGATGCATTCCCGTGGGATGCGCCCCCGGAGCATCACGGTGCTCCCATCACTCTTGGGGAGGGGGGGGAGCCCATCTTTGAGGTCCCCTCCCTGCGGCGCAGGGCATCAAAAGCCTCCGGGTCCCCCCCCCAAATTGAGGAGGGGGGTAGGGGTGCATCCGACCTCTGGTGCCCCCCACCCCGTGGCTCCAGGCTCTGCTGGAGGTGGAGGGGACAGGGTGGGGGGGTGGCAGGAGCTGCCCCCGCTTCCCGCCGCCGCCTCTTGATGATATTAAAGGTCTTGGGGAAACGGGGCGAAGGTGTCCGGGTCTCTGTGTGTGTGTGGGGGGGGACAGGACCGGGGGGGGACAGTGGGAGAGCCCATGGGTGCCCTGGATGCACCCACTGGGTGCTGCCACCCCACTTGCCTTGTGCTGGCTGGACTGACAGGGGTCAGCGGGGCCGGGTGGGGGTCAGTGAGGGGGGCCCTGCCCGGGGGGAGGTGGGGGGGTGGGGGACACCCACTGGGGCTGTGTGGGGCCAGCGCAGGGTGCTGGGTGCAGCCCAAGGTGCTGCCGGTGCGCCAGGTCCTGCTCGGTGACGCCGGTCACTGCGCTGCGGTCATGGACACCCCGTGATACACCCCCACAGCCAGATCCATGTTAAAGCCCCCCAAAACCCAGCTCAAACCCACGGGCAAGCCCCCCTAAACTCAGGCTAAACCCACAGCCAAGCCCACCCTAAATCCATCCTAAACCCACAGCCAACTCCACACTAAACCCACAGCCAAGCCCACTCCGACCCCACCCTAAACCCACAGCCAAATCCACGTGCAACCCACAGCCAAGCCCCCCTAAACCCAGCCCAAACCCACAGGCAAGCCCCCCTAAACTCAGGCTAAACCCACAGCCAAATCCACGTGCAGCCCGCAGCCAAGCCCCCCTAAACCCACAGCCAAATCTATGGCCAACCCCACCTTACACCCACAGACAAATCCACGCTAAACCCACAGCCAAGCCCACCCTAAACCCATCCTAAACCCACAGCCAAGCCCACCCTAAACCCACGGCCAAGCCCACCCTACCCCAGAGCCAGCCCCACATGAAGCCCACAGCCACCCAGCGCTGCCCCATACCAGCTGCCGTGGCGGGGCACACACGTGTGCGTGCGTGCAGGCACGTGAGCAGGCGGGTCGCAGGGAAGGATCTGCCTGCTCGTCCTGCTCCACGCGGGCTCCTCCTCGCAGCACGGCGGCCCCGTGGAAGTTGCCCCCCACCCGTGGCAGCCCCACTGCACGGGGGCCGATGCCACGCGTGGCCGCCGCTTGCCCCTGCCCCTGCCCTTGGGCATCGCCATGGAAACCGGCTGAGCTCCACCATGGCCCCAGGGGCAGGAGGTGGCCTGGTCCCTGTCCCCAGGGATGCAGGGATAGGTGCAGGGATGGACTCAGGGATGCAGGGAGGGATACAGGGATGCAGGAATGGATGCAGGGATGCAGGGAAGGATGCAGGGAGGGATACAGGAATGGATGCAGGGATGCAGGGAGGGATACAGGAATGGATGCAGGGATGCAGGGAATCAGGAATAGATGCAGGGATGGATACAGGGATGCAGGGATACAGGGATGCAGGGAGGGATACAGGGATGTAGGGATGGATGCAGGGATGGATACAGGGATGGAGGTATGGATGCAGGGATGCAGGGATACAGGGATGCAGGGAGGGATACAGGGATGCAGGGAGGGATACAGGGATGGAGGTATGGATGCAGGGATGCAGGGAGGGATACAGGGATGCAGGGAGGGGGGGAGGGATGTGGGGAGGGATGCAGGGATGCGGGGAGGGATGCAGGGATGTGGGGATGGATGCAGGGATGCGGGGATGGATGCAGGGATGCAGGGAGGGATGCAGGGCTGGGAGCATCACCCCCCGCTGAGCTGCCTTCGGTGGCGCTGGGTGGGGGTGTCCCACCACTCCTCCTCGCGCTGCGCCCACCCAGGGTGGGGGGGAGCTGTGAGTCACGCGTGGGAGAGAGCTGTCAATCTCCCTAAGCACTGCAGGGGGGTGGGGGACCCCAAGACGGAGAGTGTGGGTGAAAGGCACCCACGTCTTCACTGCCCCCCCCCCCCCCCCAGCCCCCCACCCAAAATCCCGCGTGGATCGGGCCCCTCGTCACCATGAGTGGGTGAGGCCCCAGGGGGAGGAGAGGGGCAGAGCCTCCAGCACCCCCTGGTCCACCACCACCCCCCCTGCCGCAAGCAGGGAAGGTGCAGGCAGGGAGCGCCCACCCCAGCCACCTCTTGGGGTCCCCCGGAGCCCATCAGGGAGCCCCCGGGGTTCTGCTGGAGCAGGTGGGGGGAGGGCAGCACCTTTGCTGTGCGTGACAGGGGAGCAGCCCCCCTCCACCCCCCCCAAGTGGTTTTTGGGGTGCCTCTGCAGAGAGCCCGGCCGGCGGCAGGGCCCAGCCCTGAGGGACGCTGCTGGTGCCCGTGGGTGGCACCGTGGGTGGGCCTGGCACGAGGCGTGGGTGTCTGCACGTGGGCCTGAGATCCAGAACTCTGCACAGGGTCTGCGGCGTGTGCTCAGTCGTGCAACGTGTGCTCAGGGCATGCAACACATGTTCAGTGCATGCAACGTGCTCAGGACGTGCAACACGTGTTCAGTGCGTGCAACGTGTGCTCAGGGTGTGCAGCATGTGCTCACTGCGTGCAACACATCTTCAGTGCATGCAACGTGTGATCACTCTGCAACATGTTCAGTGAGTGCAACGTGTGCTCAGGGCATGCAACACATCTTCAGTGCGCGCAGCATGTGATCAGCACATGCAACACATCTTCAGTGTGTGCAACGTGTGCTCAGGGCATGCAGCGTGTGCTCACTGCGTGCAGCACATGTTTAGTGCATGCAACGTGTGCTCGGTGCGTGCAACACATGTTCAATGCGTGCAATGTGTGCTCAGGGCATGCAACATGTGCTCAGGGCGTGCAACACGTGTTCAATGCGTGCAACGTGTGCTCAGGGTGTGCAACATGTGCTCAGGGCGTGCAACACATCTTCAGTGCGTGCAACGTGTGATCACTCTGCAACACGTTCAGCGAGTGCAACGTGTGCTCAGGGCGTGCAACACATCTTCAGTTCATGCAGCATGTGATCAGCGCATGCAACACATCTTCAGTGTGTGCAATGTGTGCTCAGGTCATGCAGCGTGTGCTCACTGCGTGCAGCACATGTTTAGTGCATGCAATGTGTGCTTGGTGCGTGCAACACGTTTAATGTGTGCAATGTGTGCTCAGGGCATGCAGCGTGTGCTCACTGCGTGCAGCACATGTTTAGTGCATGCAACGTGTGCTCAGTGCGTGCAACACATTTTCAGTGTGTGCAATGTGTGCTCAAGGTGTGCAGCACATGTTCAGTGCATGCAACATGTGCTCAGTGCGTGCAATACATTTTCAGTGTGTGCAACATGCTCAGGGCGTGCAGTGTGTGATCAGTGTGTGCAACACATCTTCAATGTGTGCAACGTGTGCTCAGGGTGTGTAGCATGTGCTCACTGCATGCAGCACATTTTCAGTGTGTGCAACGCGTGCTCAAGGTGCACAGCATGTGCTCACTGCATGCAACACATGTTCAGTGTGTGCAACGTGTGATCAGTGTGTGCAACACGTTTTCAGTGAGTGCAACACCTGCTCAGTGCGTGCAACACATGCTCAGTGCATGCAACGTGTACTCAGTGTCTACAACCTATGCAGTGTGTGCTCCGTGTCTGCACTGCACACTCAGCACATGCAACACCTGCTCAGCGCCTGCCACGCGTGCTCCACGTGTGCAACTCCATGCATGCAATGCACGCTCGGCATTTTTGCTCGTGCTCCCAACAGCGCTGGGTGCTGCCCGCACTCATGCACCCCCTGCTTTGCACACCCCCACATTGCACACCCCCGCTTCACACACCCTTGCGTTGCACACCTCTCGCTTTGCACACCCCTGCTTTGCACACCCACTCTTTGCACACACACGTGGATTCGATATGCCACAGTGTGCACCTGCGCAGCAAGCAGGTCCCTCTGGAACCCCTGAACGCAAGATTTAGGGTGCCCCCTACCCCCTCCAGAGCAAAGCGCTTCGCAGCCCCACAGCTGCACCGAACTGGTGTGTGCTCAGCCCCATGATAAGGGGGTGCTCCCCACCCCCTCCAGATCCAGCCCCGTGGAGGCGAGCACCGCGTACCCCAACAATTGTGGAGGCATTTCCAAACCAGAAATCCCTCACCAAGAACTCGCCTGCTGCAGAGGACGAAGCCCACCTAGAGCCAGCCCCCCCCTCCGTGTCCCTCTGCCCCCAGGCAGAAGGGGAAACTGAGGCACGGGGCAGCCACGGGATCTGCTGAGGAGCTAACCCCCCCCCCCCCGGCCACAGCTCTAGCGGAGCCCAAGGTTTGTTTTCTGGAGCAATCCCCCCCCTTGCACTCTGGTTCCGTGCCCTGGGGTGCTGCCAGACCCCCCCACGTGCACCCCACACCCACAGCAGCTCAGCCCCTGGCCCCGCGTCCCGCCGAGCTCTTTCCCCCCCCCCTTCGATAATGAACTCAGCAGATTATCAGCTCCCAGATTTAATAGAGGCGCAGCCACACTCCAGCAGACTTTAAAACAGTCATTATTTCATCAGCAGCCCCATTAAACTGTCACCGCCTTTTTTCAGGCTCTCTCACATTTTTTTTTCTTTTCTTTTTCCCCATCCCTGCTTTTTTTTTTTTTTTTTTTTTTTTTTTTTTTTTTTAATCGGAGCATGAAGCTGCCTCCCCGCGACGCTACCGAGAGGTGACAAGGGGATGGAGGACCACCGCCTCCCCCCTGCTCTCAGCTTACCCAGCCATAAAATGGGCTCAAACCGGGGAAGGATTTGGGGAAACCTGCTGAAATTTCAACCGCCAGCCTCGCTCCCCCGAGCCGGCACGGGGGACCCCCCCACCCCTCCCAGCAGCTCCGCTCACTCCCAGCGGGGCCGGGGCGGTGGGAAGGGGCTCTCGGTGGTGGGGAAGGTGGGAGAGGGGCCTCGTGGAAGGTTTTAGGAGCATAAAACGAGACTGCTCGGAGGATTTTCTCCAGCCCGTGCTCCACCCCCCCGCCGCTCCCCTCCTCCCTCCCCAGCAGCCGCCCACTCCCCGCTCCCGGCTTAATGGGAAAAATAAAGGCAATTTAAATAACTAAATAAATGTCGAGCAGCCGCGCGGGAGAAGGGGGTGCGGAGGCGGGTTGTGCCCGGGGAAAGGCACCCGCTGGGGTCCCATGGGATTTGGGGGGGGGGGGGGGGGTGGGG